ATTATAGTAAAAACATTATTTATACTGTTTTTTTGTTTTTTATTACAAGAAAAGTGAAACCTTGCAATTTTCCAGAATTCAACATGGAGGTCTGTATTATGAGAGTAAGCGTAGACCATACTTTCCAGTAGCTGCAGGAAAATCTTACCCTATTACTGTGATGCAAATTTTGTGACTCCTTCAGGAAGTTACTGGGTTACATCATTGCAACACAAGATGGGTGGTCATCTCTTCTCTTTATTCTCTTTTTTCTGTTTCCGTTTTTTTGTTTTAGCTGGGTTTGTTACACACATATATATGTTATGAAGATCACAAAATACATTAAATACACGTTAAAGTAACACTGCTTCAGTGTTTATATCAAAGTGAATGCATTGATTTAAGTAGATTATAAAATTATAGCATTAATTAAAAAATACAATGCTTGCCCAAAGGTCACTTGTACGTCTCTCACATGCTTTAAATTAAGCCTTATAATCAGTTATAGCTGACTTTCACTTTTTAGGTAAAGGGGTCTCTGAAAGTTCTTTGTGTGTATTGTTTTCAATTTACAAAACATTCCATTATAGAAACTATATGATAATTAGAATACAATAAGAATGAAGGGGAATGGGAATCTTCTTGCACATTCATAGGAGCACTGTCCTCAACAACAGCCTAAGCCTCTGAAAGAAAAGTCCCTTTTTCTCCTGCCATAGGCACCAACTCTGTTATTAATGCACCTAATAAATATTGTTGTGTGTCAAGCACCTTTACAGGTATTGAAAATAAAATTGTTTACAAGAGAAACTGAACACTGTAGTTTAGAGGCGGGAAGAGATTAATAGAAAAGTAGGCAAGAATAGATCAGAAAACTCATGATTATGACAAATGCTATATTATAAAATATGTATCATCTTTAACATGATTTCTTTTCCTTTCAGATAGTAAAATTGGTCCACATTGATAATATATAAAGAACATATACATTACTAGTATACTAGAACTTATTTTTATTATCTTGTTTGTTTGGTTTTTTCCTGCTTACATTTCCACATTTCTCTCAAACACCACGTCTATAAGGGTTTAAGACCCACTTAAGATGATAACCATTTTAAATTCCTGGAGGCTAAAGATTTGCAAATTTATTTCTTTGTCTATGGTAGCAGTGTGCACTGTATCTTTGCCTGGGAAATGGCATTTGACCATATGAGGTGTAACATCTCTTAATAGCATCAAAAAGATTCAGGTTATTGCAAAGTAGCCAGAAATTCTTCCAAAAAGTCGTAGGGAATTGAGAGTCTGCTAGATCTGCATTCCTCATCAAGGCCTGCCAGAGCTCTGTTGACAGTCTCAAGAATTCTTTGCTTTTATTCTGCCTTTCCCTGTGTTTTCACTATTTTCTTTCAAAATTCATGGTTTATTTTAGGAACATGGATGTCTAGGAAACTTCCAGTTTTGCTATTTTCAATTCCTTAACAAATGTTTCATTGTTTTACCGTATTGCCATGTTTTTACTTATTCCCTTCTATAAAAGAAATATTCAACAAATATTTACTTTTTTCTCTACTTTTTCTATTTTAGGAACATGCTCAAAATCAGATATGAAAATGGATTTATTTCTGAATCTTCTTCTATTTATATTTTAAATAAAGAAATGCAATATAAATGTAAACCAGGATATGCAACAGCAGATGGAAACTCTTCAGGATCAATTACATGTTTGCAAAATGGATGGTCAGCACAACCAATTTGCATTAGTAAGTGATTTACCTATTCCATTCAGTTTCTGTCAACTTTGTTCCTCTCGTTGAGATGATAGTGTTTTACTCAAAAATATAGAAAACACTTTTAGGAGTAAAGAGATACAAACACTTCTAATATCATTTAACATTCTGTGCCAGACTAAGCCTTTTTTGCCTTTTTAGAGTAATGGCTACTTGGGAAGATGATCATTCCATCTCTTTCAATTCAATTTGCCTTTGCGTAAAAGCAATCCCATCAGGTACAGACTAGTTAGGCAGCTGCATGGGACTCTCAGCAAAATGTATGAATTGTCAACAAAAACTTTGTTCTTTTCCCTTTCTTCGTATTTCAAAATTATCAACTGCTTATATTGTATTCCTTGCTCACACTCAGCAAAGATGTACATGTCGGGGAAGGGATGAGTGCTTAATTCTGAGTTTCTGCTAGCATCAGGAGAATGAGACCTTAATAATTTGTATCAATGATGCAACTGAGGAGAACCAACTCAGAAAATTATTTCCAGCTTGTAATCTAGTACAGAGAAAACAAGTAAAGGAAAAGGGTAAGTGAGTGGGCTGAATGTTTACAAACCTCATACTTGGCAATGGATTCCTTACAACTAAAGTTCTCTAAAACATTCCAACTTGTAATTACTTATTATTAAAGAGATTGCATAATGAACAATGGAAATCTTGCAGTGGCAAAAGTTGATCATTTTGTCTTTTCTCTGTAGACATTCACAAAGATTTTTAAAGATAAATTATTTAATTTATTTTTAACACACATATTGATATATAATTTACAAGTGCAAAATCCACTTCACTTTCAAGTGTACAATTCAACTATTTTTAGCCATGAGATGAAATGGAAGGGACTACTGATACATAATAGAGCATGGATGAATCTCAAAAATATTAAGCTAAGTGAAAAAAAGAAAGGATACAATTAGAAAGTGATTATCTCAAAGTTACTCTGAGGTTTGGGAGCTATAAAATATCAATTCCTACATTTCTAGAATCCTGTTTTCAATTTCTATGCTTATCATGGGTTCTGGAAAAGATAAAGCTGCATAGTTTAATCTAATTTGACTCAGCTTTGATAAATGATCTAAGATCTGTAAAATAAAAGATAATACGTTTTAAAAACTTTTATAGAACCTATATCCAATGAATAAAATTTTAATCCAACATACACCCTTACTGTCAGTAAATTGAGTACATAAATATGTACATTAACTTTTAAATTCACAAAATTTTATCGTCTTTAAAATAATACATTATAATGATAAAGGTAGACTGTAATAATAGCCAATGAGATGTTCCCAAATAAAAATAGGTCTGACTAAATATTCTTAATATGTTTCTCATAGGATTTAAATGATGAGAAGGATCATATATAGGGAAATATATTTTTCTCTTCTAATTAACTATTACAGTACAAAGAAAACACTGATTATCAAACTATTTTTAATAGTACTCAATTTATTAGCACACACTGATTGGTAAATGTTATTACTACAATGGGACTTTCTTTGTTAAATTGTGTATCATATGGCATAAAAAAGCAATCCTCAATTTTATTTTGTTTCAGAATTTTGTGATACGCCAGTTTTTGAGAATTCCAGAGCCAAGAGTAATGGCATGTGGTTTAAGCTCCATGACACATTGGACTATGAATGCTATGATGGATATGAAAGCAGATATGGAAACACCACAGGTTCCATAGTGTGTGGTGAAGATGGCTGGTCGCATTTGCCAACATGCTATAGTAAGTATTTTATTCAAGTATTTCTTTTTACTAGAATTAAATAAATAAATAAATAAAAACATACATATGTATATGTACATACACATGTAGTCCTCTTTCGAGTGTGAATTACCTTGAAACTTAAAAAAAAACCAAGGTTGAAAATGCAAATGTCTTCCTAAGGCATCAAATAAGATACAGTTAAGAGTATATAAAAAACTTTATTCAGAAAGTTTCCAAGAAAACTGTTGATTTTCCCCTACATATAAAATATTCTTTTTTTCAGATTCTTCAGAAAAGTGTGGGCCTCCTCCACCTATTAGCAATGGAGATACCAAGTCCTTCCCGCAAAAAGTGTATCTGCCACAGTCAACAGTCGAGTACCAATGCCAGTCCTACTATGAACTTCAGGGTTCTCAATATGTAACTTGTAGTAATGGAGAGTGGTCAGAGCCACCAAGATGCAGATGTAAGTTCTTAATATTCTGGATCTGAGAAAATTAGAGTAATAAGTTTGATTTTTGCTTATTTATACTAAAATTTTTATGGGTTATTACCCTAGAACTGTGTTCACAAACAGCTATTCTGCTGAATGTTTGCCTTTCAGATCTTAATATGTAAGTGTATAAGCTTGGAAAATTTCATGTAAACGATGACAAAGTTTCTTTTTTAAAACAGGATTGTTCAGAGACATCAATTTGTTAATGGATACAATCAGTCTTCAAGAATGACATCGATGTATTGCACACATATGAAATATGGCATCTCAACTTAAGATCAGTAATCATTTTCACATTATTAACATTTATGAAAAGAGTTTTCAAAGAGTTTTGAAAACACTGTTTTAAAAACAATGAACTTGGAGCCAACCCAAATGTCCATCAATGATAGACTAGGTAAAGAAAATGTGGCACATATACACAATGGAATACTATGCAGCCATCAAAAAGGATGAGTTCATGTCCTTTGCTGGGACAAAGATGAAGCTGGAAACCATCCTTCTCAGCAAATTATCACAAGAACAGAAAATCAAACACCACATATTCTCACTCATAAGTGGGAGTTGAACAAGGAGAACAGGTGGACTCAAGGAGGGGAACATCACACACCAGTGCCTGTCACAGAGTGAGGAGCTAAGGGAGGGATAGCACTAGGAGAAATACCTAATGTAGGTTATGGGTTGATGGGGGCAGCACACCACCATGGCACATGTATACCTATGTAAAAACACTGCATGTTCTGCACGTGTACCCCAGAACTTAAATTATAATAAAAACTATGAATGATTAACTAAAATCCTTCTTGAAAACCTGAAATGCCTCCTGAGAGAGCACATAGCTAGTTAACACTGAGAAGTTCTTTCTCTGATTATTGTTCTTTCTTATATTTTACCAGTATTTCTAGCAAGAAAGAAAGAAATTAAAGGAAAGGTCAGCCATTTCTAAAACCCCGTGTTTTCTGTCTTTACCTTTATCTACTCTCCCTTCATCCCAGAATCAAAATGAATACATGAAAAATCCCTCAAGTCAGTAATATAGGTATACTTCCAGAATCTGTTCTCCAAGTGCTATGAACTTGAAGCAACACATTTCAAAACATATGAGCCAAAATAATTATGGCAACAACAAGAAAACCTAACAGAAAGTTTGCCACAAGTTTCTACTAGCCTATGACGTAGAGTCCTGGGATACCCATCAGGCATTGCATATCAGATAACCTATTCCTATCACAGCTCTTAAACTGTAAACTCATGAGTTTTTCAAGTGCTCAGGTTCCTAAGTATAGGATGATACCAGCAGCTCTTTTCTGTGATGTGACTCATTTCCTTTATTATGATGCTATGCTGCCTTTTACCTTTTATATTGACTGATGACGCTAATATCTTGGCTGATCCTACGATGAGCTAAACCTTAATTATTGTCCCCTATTTATGTATTCACTTCTGTATCTACTTTAGAAAGTGTTAGAATATACATTTGGAGGAGTATTTAGTGCTCAAATAATATTTATTTTTGAATTGTAAATAGCCCCTGAATGTATTGAGAGCTCTTAAACATTTTTGGATTTCAGAAGTGATATGTACTATGTGAAGAAATGTATTTATGTAAGTTCATAAAAGATGTATTAAAATATGACTTGGGGAAGTTTCTAAAGAAATACCAATGTTAATAAGGGCTAGACTTGAGTGCCGAATACTTGCATCAAAAGGAGAGAAAGAGGAGTGAATTATATCATCAAAAATGGAAAGCTTGCCATGGAAGAATTGAGCTTAATACATAGGGTACGGGTTGATAGGTGGTGCAAATCACCATGGCACACATTTACCTATGTAACAAACCATCACATCCTACACATGTATCCCAGAACTTAAAAAATTATTATAAAAATTTTT